AGTTCATAGGTAAAGTTAAGGACGGATTTTTATCAAAAGTGCATTTATTTCTTTAATTTTATTAGTTAAAATAAAAATATCATCTACGTAGGGAACATATATTTTCAGTTTACGGACCTGTGTATTTTCTACGTGGGATCAATTATTTCCCAGATCCCAACACTTATCTACGAGCTATCAAAATTCTTGAACGATATCATCACTCCATACCTACCTACCAATTACAGCATCACATCCACCCACAAATTTCTCCAAACTTTAAAAACTACTAAACCAAGCCAAGGTATAATAGCAAACATATATTTTCGGTTTACGGACCTGTGTAAATATAGTATTTTCTACGTGGAACATATAATAGTTGGAAAAGCATGAACCGAGTAGATTTCCCATACTAACACCATTAGTTTGGGTGTAAATGTTGCCATTATGGTCATAGAATGGAACTTTGGTTGTGTCTGCGAGTAGTAATGTTTTTAGTATGGATGGTTTCATGGATGTTGGAGGGATAGAATTATTAGTATATACAGAATTAGGGATAATGTCAATAGTTTGATCGATGGGGACGTTTTTAAATAAGTTTTCGACGTCAAGTGATATCAAGGACACATGGCACAGAGGATAAAGGCGTTGGTTAGATCCAGTGACAGGACCCAAACAGTGTGAGTTCAATATCCGGTTAAGGCAGCGGAGAACTTTGAGAGGAGAATTAACATGGGATAACTGACATCCATGAAACAAGGCACGTGAGACTAGAACGGTGAGCGAAATAAAGGGTTCAGTTCGACATTCCAACCACATGAAGAAGGCCGGAGCGTACAACGGCAGAAACGATGTGATAAATATGGCGACAAAGATGAGGACAATAGTCCGAATAGTGTAGATTAGAAATTGTTTCTTTTTTTTTCTGAGAGCATCTTCCGATTTCTGAAGGAAGAGCCCTAAATAAACTTTACCCCTTCACAGCCATTTAATTTGGGGAAAAAGCGTTTTTCCAGAAGAATTTTTTTAATTTTTTTTAAACTGGGGGATTTTGAAGTGCCTGGGCAGTAAGTCACACCTCTACCAGAGCTATAAGTTGACATTTGGACTCGTTTCAATCTCAGAACGGATTAGCAAGAATCGACATAAACACGTCTGTAGCTGGCTTTTGAACGTTATGTTTTGGATGTGTTTATTCGTCCGTGTCTGAAAAAAAAAAGCCACTTTCGGTAAAATGTACAGAGTGGTCCGAAAGTCCAGTCATACCTATATAATATAATTTTCTATTTCAGATGACTAACCCGAAAATGATGGTATTCATACAGACCTCCGCGATGTGTGACAGCGTCAATGAAAATGAATAAACTGAATCCATTATATACGTATTGTAATAACTGTATTACTTGTTCTTTTACTGTTCTTATTAATTTTTGGTAACGGGTGGTGATAAGATTTTCCGGCCACGTTTTACTTTGCTGTATACCTTCAGGACTTGGGCGATCATGCCACTCGGCAACTTCGTTTCTTGTAGCTACAACCAGCTTTTGATACTTTACCCCCACTTTTTTGACGCCGCTAGAAAATACATAGATATCAAGTGAACGAACGATCGAGAGAGTGGGAAAGAGACAGCAAGAGGGGGAGAGAGAGAGAGAGAGAGAAAAGAAAAGAAAAGAAAAGAAAGGATTGGAGTTGAATGAGAGAGAGGATAAAATAGTGTTGAGAGAGAGAGAGTAAAAAGAAAGGATTGCAAGTGAAAGAGAGAGGGATGTTTTTTATTATGCTATTCCTCATATTATATATATATATATATATATATAAAGACATTTTTATGTTTAACATTCTTTTTATAGATACAAATATTTAAGTAAATGATCTGTTTATAATAAACAATATTCACAGAAAATATTTGTCCTCCGACAGGATTCAGAACCTGTATCCCTATACGAAACCGTCATATGTGACGTTACACACACATATATATATATATATATATATATATATATATATATATATATATATATATATATATATATATATATATATATATATATATATATATATATATATATATATATATTGCATGTTTTTGTATTGTTCTACCCTGTATATTCACGTCTACGCTGGGTAAGAAGTTAAAGACATAACAGCAGATTGAAAAAGAAATATGCTTTTGATAAACCCCAATGTGTTTATTCTTCTTATTCTTACAGAGGCATTTGTCTACGGCAGTCAATAAAGTTTTTGCTTGTTTTATCAAATAGTTACAAAAGTTATGTAATTTAGTTGGTACCAAACTCATCATGTAAATGTATCGTCTGTAAAAAGAAAAAAAAAACTTACAATTACTTTTTGGCAGACGATTTATATCGACTCTGTATCTCTTAATATTAAAAAAGAAATTCGATATTGAATAAAAGCAAACATTAAATGTAGCTATCTGATAAATTTTTTATGAATATGGAATGAAAAATACCTTTTTCTTCCGCGCAGCTGAGTTGACTTCATAACAGGAAGCAAAACCTCACCGCATTAGAAATATCCTCTCGTGAAAAATGTATTTTTGGAATGAAGAAATCGTCGTTTATATGCGGGGAAAGGAAAGATTTTCGCTTGCTTTTTTTCATGTGATATTTTAATTTAGTCGATTCCTCACTAGCATTTTATCTTTTTTCACAGACCATTAAGATATTTCGTAATGTGTTCATATATAAATATATAATTGCATATATATGTATGTCAAAAGAAATATTTGAATTCATAAATTGTAGCAGATCTCCCCAATATCGCTTTTTGAGGTATTTCTCTTCATCTATCGTTTTCTTTTTGTATCTATCAATATTTGCAGGAGATATAATGAATATCTCCGTGAAATGAGAACTCGAGGAGCCGAGTTCGAATTCCAGTCGAATTTCTTGCATTCAGTTAAACTCGGTAAAGTTATGAAACCAGGTTTCTTCCGCCAGGTTTTGGTTAATAATAGGGGTTGTGTCTGATTATGCCTTATCGACTCGTAAGAATAAAGACAGATTCTTAAAATCTAAATTATGTTTCGCCTTTAAATATCCCCAAAAGTGTTGATAAGCCGTAAAAAAGCAAATCAAATATATCATATTTAGCTTTCGAACAACCGCTTTATGTCAGTTTATTCATGTGAAGCTATCTCGTATTTTTCAGTATAATTCTATCTATATATATATATATATATATATATATATATATATATATATATTATATTAGTCAATGTAATTCTATGTCACTATTTATACACACACACACACACACATATATATATATATATATACATATATATTAGGCAGTGCAATTTTATCTATCTATTAGTGTAATCTTATCTGTCTATGTATCTTTCTGTCAGTGTAATGCTATCTATCTATCTATCTATCTATCTATCTATCTATCTATCTATCTATCTATCTATCTATCTTTGAGCATATACAGCTACATTAAGAAAACAACTTATATTCAATAAACAAAAAAACAAGTCTATATTCTGAGTTCAGCATCGTGACAATGTCAGATCAAAATCTTGATATCTGTGACGACGCCATTCAAAAAATGGTAAGATACGACTAAATATCTACATGGAAAAAGACATTGAGAACTTCCTTGTTTTCTGCGAGTAGATAAAATGCATATCCTTGTGGATACATATGTACAAAAACGAGATGCGCCGGGTGAGTTGGGTTTTCGTAAAACCTATCAATGGTGGGATAGAATTAAAAGTATAAAGAATGAATGATTATTACATAAATTTATGTAAAGGTGGCAATTAAAATGAAATGAATGTATACCGAAAGATGAATATGAGTAAGATGAAAATAAAATGAAACAAAGAAAATTAAGACCAACAACAGGAAAAAAAGGAAAGGTAATAAAATATAAAATAAAATGATAAAAAAATGCGGAGATCATTTTCAAATATAGATAGATAGATAGATAGATAGATAAATATAAATGAAATAGATAGATAATGGTTTACTGAAATATATAAATATATATATATAGATATATATATATATATATATATATATATATATATATATATATGAGATGGATAGATAGAGAGAGAGAGAAAAAAATCCTACTACCTACCTAGGTTTCTCCTAAATGGATCTTCATGGTAAGCTGGCTTACTTTACTCGACTGTCTTTTTTTTTTCTTTCGGCAAGAAATTACGACACCGGGCGAGTTTTTACGACCTAATCGATTGTTTTTAGTTTTTTCTTTCTTTTCAATGTTTTTCCCGAGATACCAACTTGTTTTAATTTTTCTTTGCAAATTCTACTGTACGGGTGTTATTTTATTTTTTTTTTTTTTTTTTTTTTTTTTTTTAACACCATTTAAGTATAGACATTAACATGATAGATAGATAGATAGATAGATAGATAGATAGATGAGATAGATGAGCAGATATATATATATATATATATATATATATATATATATATATATATATATATATATATATATATAGATAGATAGATAGATAGAGAGAGAGAGAAAGAGAGAGAGACTTAGCGATAGAGAGATAAAAAAATCCTAGTGAGCCAGAAACTACCTACCTTTTGTTTCAGCTAAATGCTTACCCTTAAGATTTTATTTTTACTCGATTGATTTTTTTTTTTTCGAATAAATATTACGATACCGCGATTTTTTTTTTCTTGGCATACTCGGATGTTTTAGTTTATTTTTTACCAAATATTTTCCCCAGATACCAATTTGTTTTCAATATTTTTTTTTGCAAATTTACTATCCGTTTTTTTTTTTTTACCAGTCAGTATAAACTTTAACATAATATATATATATATATATATATATATATATATATATATATATATATATATATATATATATATATATATATATATATATAAAGAGGAGAGGGAGAAAAGATAGAGAGAGATATGAACAGACTAAGAGAGATAAATAGATAGATAGATAGATAGATATGAACAAACTGACATAGATCGATAGAGTATATGAGAGAGATGTTAACAGACTTAGATAGATAGATAGATAGATAGATAGATAGATAGATAGATAGATAGATAGATAGATAGATAGCTAGATAGATAGATAATGAACAGACTTAGATAGAGAGAAAGAAAGAGAGAGAGATGAACAAGCCAGGATAGATAGATAGATAGGTAGATAGATAGATAGATAGATAGATAATGAACAGACTTAGATAGATAGATAGATAGATAGATAGATAGATAGATAGATAGATAGATAGATAGATAGAATGACAGAAAAATAAAAAAAACGAAATAAAATAAAAAGCAAATATGATAAAGAAAATGTGGAAATAATATTAAAAGAACGAATATCACGCAACAGAAAAATACATTATGAATATTATATATATGCCTGTGTTTCTGTGTGCATAGTTAGATAGATAGATAGATAGATAGATAGATAGATAGATAGATAGATAGATAGATACTTGATCTACATTGTAATATTGAATTCACCGATATCTCATTTGCTTTTTATATTAATATTCTCTCAGAAATACATTTCATCTCAATCGTACTTCACAAATAATAAAGCTTATAAAGTTATGGAAACACGAATGCTGCAAAATTACAAACGCTATCTGATTAATGTGATGTCAAAATATTGGGTTAATCTTCAATTCCTTTTTTTTTTTTTTCCATAAAAACGCTTCCATTTTTCACGTTTTTTTTTTCATTATCTCTCGAACCGAACATTTTTTTCTTTACTATCATTCCACGTATTTTTTAGAGAAATGTTATAAAAGAATCTCCTACCTGTTTGATTTTTCTTTTGTTTCATACTTCTGCCGATCTCCGTGGGGGTCTCACATTTGAGTTGGGGATATCAACATTGTATTGAAAATAGCATCATGTGTGTATGATGTTTGGTCCTCATCATTTGCACCACGTCATCTTTTCACGAAGATTAATCTCTCTGTATTCAATACTCGTTCGGGATGCTGGGCTGGCGATCATTGTTTTTCATTCTCATTTTGGTCTGCCTCAACAATTGCTGTTTTTTGAACCTGGTTCTTCTTTGGCCTTGTCCTATTAGTTTAAGATCTTCTTGGACGATTCCCTCAAAGATGAAGAAGAGACTCGAGGCGACGGAGATGTTGTTCTACAGAAGGATGCTGAGGATATCGTGGATCGAGCGTGTGAGCAGCGGTGAGGTCTTAGAGAGGGTGCAAACCAGGAGGAGGTTTATAATTAACATCGAGGCAGCTGAAGTTTCTAGGACACATAATGAGGAAGGAGAGCCTGGAGAATCTGATACTCACGGGTCGAATAGAGGGAAAGAAAGACAAGGGAAAACAATTCATGACATACCTAGTGGCCTTAAGCATGTGGATGACAGAAGGTGGTCTGGGGAGGAAGCAGAGGGAAGGAAATTGATAGCTGCAAGGGGTAGAGGAAGATCGCCTACGCCAACATCCTGAAAGGACATGGCACATACAAAGAAACAGAAAGTAGCTTGCGTCTTTCTTTTCTCTGTTCCTCTCGCATGCGATACGCCCTGTGAATGTTCAAATTTCTCAGCCTTCTTTCCTGCCGACGGAGTAAGCCCACGGTTTGCTTCTTATAAAGTATCGTAGTAAAAGCGCTTATTCAATATGATCTTCACCCTCTCTAACCTTCTAGCTTTCTGTCCTGGAGTAACCAGATGCCTCACACTTTTCACATACGATTCATTTTCAAGCCTTTCTTCATTGCTCCTTGGAATACAATAGCTGAAACTTACGAGCCAAACGTCTTATGGATTTAGTTAGATCTTTTCTAATTGATCTCTTTAGCTCTAAATTGAAATGATGATCCCTCCTCTTGTTGTGACCTACTGATCCAGTATTCCTCTCTACTGTTCCCTCTTTTTTTTTAAACTTATGTACCGTTCTCTTAATAGCTCTTGAATGGACATAAAGATGGAAGCCAGAGTATGAATTTTCCTATATTACTGAAGGCCTGAATGATCTTTTTCCGCTCACCATTGCTCAGGTGGGAAGACATAGTTGAGCTCACGCAAAACCTGTTCCCTATCTAACGAATAATTCGAAGGGTTTTTCAGTGATTCTCACAGTAAATGGCATCAGTATGTCTAAACGTCTTCTTTGATAACCTGGAAAAAGTAGCTCAATTAGTTTAGTAATTTTAAGATATTACACATTTTGTGCGATGGACAATTATCTCATGCTGTTACACGATTTGGACAATTTTGTTGTTACACTCGGTATATATATATATATATATATATATATATATATATATATATATATATATATATATAAAAATTGATATAAAATATGTTTTTTTCCGCTACACAGTTCTATCCATATAAACCTAGTTACTTTTATTTTATATATAAACCTAGTTACTAGGTTTATATATAACATAAAAGTTTACTAAATCAGTGAAATTAAGTAACCATTTTTGCCGTCAGTCATAAATTTTTTAATAAAAAAAAATGTAACCTCATATACATACTTAAACTTGATGTTAAAATAATCCTACATAATATAATGGAGTCTAATACATTTAACTGTTCTTAAAAAGAATATAGTATAATAAAAATTAACAATGAGAATATTTCAAATCGTAGTTAAATAAAAAGTATTATGATCTGAATACCCACGAAAATCTTTAAATTTATAAATGGGAAAAAAATGCCGTAAGAATTTTTTTATCGTTAACAATAATTTAAAAAAAAAATCCAGACGACATGCATTGAACGGATGTCAGTTTTCATTGAAAAATACATCCCTATCCCTTACCAAATTGTAGCTAATAACTGATACAATGATACTTACATAAGGAATACCTAGACATCCCTTGTCCAATTCAAGTAGAATATTCTGTAACCATGGAAACGTGATTTTAGCTGTGTCTTTAAAACCCGGTAATTTTAAAAGTTACTCCAAAATTCGCTTGAGGATGAAATGGAACTAATGCTTTTAATTTTATTGCAAAATTAAATTCGGGGCTTTTAGCTTCCATTTTTGAAACATGGTTAGAACTGTGTAGCGGAAAAACATATCTTAAATCAATTAATTTATAATATTATGCTCTGTAAATTTACATTGAGCACTATTTTGTAAAAAAAAAAATATTTATAAGAACACCGGATTATATATCTTACTGTTCTTTCTTTTTATTTTTATATATATATATATATATATATATATATATATATATATATATATATATATATATATATATATATATATATATATATATATATATATATATATATATATATATATATATATATATATATATGAATGAGAAAACTGTATTGTCGAAAGGATGATTGAACATAAATTCTAGATTATAACAAATACGCAATATTCTATGTGCCTTGAATTTTCAGGATGTGGCCGAACATGACCCTTGACAACTTTGTAGCGGTTAGTAGATCTTATCTTATTACCACCCTTCCTATTCCCTGTTCGATCTTCCATTTAAACATGTGGATGCTAAATTTTTCTTCCTATCCTCATTATGTTTCCCAGAAAATTCACAACTTACGGCTATATCACGTTGAAACACCAGTTCTCGTTAAGTAAATTCGATCCTGGCCAGTACCTGAAAGGGTAACCGCTTGGGAATATCATATACTGTAATCTGTGATGTGCGGGTGATGTAATGGATAACGGCTCGGAATTGGAAATTTGAGAGCAGTGTTCTACGGCACTAGGTCCGACGTTACTTAATTTCGGCGTTCGTAAGGAAAACGATGTTTCCATGGGATATAGCCGTAAGCCAGACAACAGTTGAATCTGGTCTTGAAGAGATTAACTTTGGAGTGGCCGGGGAAGTTTCTTCTAATTGTGGTGGCAACCAGTCTAGGATAAGGAAAACTCTCAAATCAAAACCAATCTAAATTGGGCTAGATTCTGTCAGGCTATCGTCCTCTAGGCACCCCAAAATTGTTACGACTCTTACGAATACATGTGGTGACCCGATGACCTTAATTTTTTACGGGACTCGTAGCAAGTGTGACTGAGTAAGCTCCTACACTAACATTGTGAAGAACGCTTTTAACTGTTTAAGAAAACTACGTATTTCTGTTGTAATATACTAATGACAAAATTTATATGATGCCAGTTAAATCCACTGATGATTACTTGTAACAGACAATGAACTATAGCCGTCCAGTTCCAACTAAAACAGCGGGCATTTCTCTCGTTGAAGTTTTCATTTGAGTTTAATCTAGGGTAATAAATATTGTTCACAACACTTGTCGCAAACTCACAGTACCCATTTTAATCTCCAGTAAAAGCGAGCAAAAATTATTGGGGGTGGGGATGCTTACTTACTCCCCCCCCCCTGTAGAGGATAATAACTGAAAATACAATGAAATTGCGTCTCCTGTTCGTTGATTGGTCTACGGCACTTCTGGATTCAATATGTTGATAAGCTGACAAGCACTCGGAACTTATGGTTTAAATGCAAACAAATCTTTGCTGTTCTCAGCCAGTAATGAATAAAAGTTATTTTATTATGTGTTAAAATACACTTGTCTTTTATTTTCATATGTTTTTTTTTATTTATTCCAACAACCTGGATATAACACAAATAAGAATGATTTCTTCATTGTTGTGCATGGTTGAATTGAATGTTACAATCGATACTATGATATTGAGTCTCCCCGCCACTGGGGCAACATGTGACACAAGGTCGGTTGTTTACTGTGTGTATTCCCAAAAATATGCCCGTTTGAACCCGTATAAACGTGTTCAGGGCCGGTTTTACCTCCCCGAAGGAGACTCCACCCTTCGGCGGAGCCTCTTTCGGGTTCCTCTCCGTCCGAAGACAGAGAGTTGAACCGATTAGTCAGTCGAGAAAGCGATACTATGATTAGAACAACTCATTGGGTTAAAACTGATCAGTAACTTTCAATAGCTTTAAAGACAAACTATTAACATTACATCACGAACAAACAGACTCAGAAATATCGTTTATCATAGTACTCTCAATGAGACCCCTTTATCTGCAATGCCGATTGCAACTCAAATTCTCCCCAGAACACATATATACGATCCATCACTAATGATGCTGGAAAACCAATTAGTTAAGTGCCATAGGTGATACATTCTTGGACGACCATGTCTCATACGGTTCATAACTAACTAGGCAGATGTTCGAGCAGTAGGCTGCCGTTTCCTTCTGTGGTTGACTGGTGACCAACCAAGGCTATGGGATCCAGTCTGTTTTACTATACAATCGATTTCTTGTGGGGGTGGGGGGAAGATATGCATTCATTTCTAAAGGGTATTTACGCATAAGTGAACCTAACCAACTCGACTGGAATTCGAACTTGTTCCGAGCCTTATCCACTATAGCACAAACCCTCATGCTTATACTGTTGCAATAATTACCTGATACCACCTGCTATGCTCTGTGTTAAAAAAAGCCAAACAGGCCAAGCACACTGCTGAATTATCTTGACTGGAGTTCCTTAGTCCTTATTTTCCAATCTTGACAGTGGTCTTGAGTTTGAAGAATTATTTTCCATTCTGCAACCTATATTTCCACAGTGGCGACATCGCAAAAGCTCTTGCTATTACATCGCTATTCTCAAGACAAATTCATTCATTACTTCAATCAGTTCTACATTCACGGTTTAAATGCGCCACATTTCGTACACTGGTACGAATCATTTAACATCCACTATGTATTCAGCTAGCAAAATGCAAGATGCATTTGGATAACTTCTTCACAAACACGGCAATTTTGTAGAATGGAATCTCCAGATTAGGTTTCTAAGATCCGCACAGTTTTAACTTCTTCAAGTCTAAGATTAACCGTTATCTCTCTTACATATCCTCATAAATTGAACATCTTACCTCATCCTCTTACTCCCAGGTAGCTTCGGTAACGCTCTACTTTGAGTAACTCTTGAGCCTTGTATTGGGTGAAAATAGTATGAAAGTGATGTGGGTGCCAACGTTGAGACCACAAAAGTAAAACACGGAACACGGATTAGATGTAAGAAAGATATATTAAAAACAGGTTACAGAGATAGTGTAAGCGGAGCTTACTAAATGTTAGTGTCCAATACTGGTAGTCGTACCAGACTCTCACTGTCTCTCTGTGTCACTCTCTGTCACCCCCTAGAGTGTTATGTCGCCTACTTAATATAGGCCAGGAAGAGTCTATTGTGTAGATAGTTTCCGGTCTCACAATAGAAAGATTCCCGGATGAATTCGAATTTATGCCAGATCTCTGTGACATTCAACTAAATTTCGTACTTCAAATAATGTCATCAAAATATATTATCCAATCTTGTTTGTCATGTAATAATAGTAATATTAGACGTTTCCCTATAAGGAAACATTTGCTATTCATTCATCGAACAGCCAGTAGAGATTTTGGTTTAAACTTATAAAAACTTTCTCTAATTTTTTTTTTTTTTTTGAAAAATAGGCTATTCAATTTCAGTTTTTATTCAGCCAAAGCAATTTTTGGCCATTAATCAAAGAAACGATTTTGTACAGCTGACAGTTTAGTTATTTCTAAACGGGTTTGCCGCCATGCATGATATCCATATGAAAGTTTCGTTACGAAGAGACTAAAAACATGAGTTTTCTGTTGATGTTTTGGTTTCTTTGCAATTTGGGGTTTTGGGTGAAATTACCTCTGACACAGCATATTCTGTGTTCAATATTATCAAAATGATCAGCGTCACAAACTATACAGATATTTCATTTGGCTAAACTTTGTCATATATAAAGTTATTCATGGAGATTGATTGATTTGTCTTTTACGACTTATCATCCCTTTGCAGAAAGCTAGAAAATGTTTTTAGACTGCAGGAATTTTTTTTTAGATAATAATGGTTTAGTGATACAAGGTTTACTAATTAATCCATATCTGGGGGGAAATATGTGGATTAATACGTTTACCAAAGGTTTTTGTGCGTAGGTAAATATAATGGGTGCTGCAATGCATAATGATTCGTATTTGCTCATGAAGAGCGATATTTATTTGTAAATATATAGAAAATATGGCACAAGGCCAAAGTAGAGAAAAGAAATTAGGACGATCTTCATCTGTTTTAAGCCGAGTTCCAATTAGCGTCGTGTTCATTATATTCATTCGTACTTAAGAGTAAAATGAGTTTTAAATCAAGCTGGTCGACTTGGTTTTGGAAGCCAAGCAAAAGCGAATTTTTTACCACCGACTCCCTGTAGCCATCCTTCCGGTTGACTTAACCTTGCTTGAAGTTCAAAATTAGGTTTACTTCTATCACTATTTATCGACCTTTTTCATTGAAATCAATAAACTTGGCAATAGCGTTTGACATCATTTATTATTTGCCTTATAAGCACACAGCCTTTTAGACAACATTCGGAAATTTTCTTGGAGAATAAGCAAAATATTTGAGACAAGGTCATTGAAGGTGTTTCCCTTCGACACCGTGAGGTCCTGCAACGATAAATATATATTTATATATGATTGTTTTATTTTCCCTTTTGTGCTGTCTTGTAGGGAGTTTCTTTCATTTATTTTCCTTGTTTTCGCTTTGCCTTTGTCTTGTTAGGAAATATATTGCGTGTCATTTCGTTTGTCAGGCCCTCACATCTCTGATCTAGTCGACCGGGAAGATGTGACCCAACCCCCCGACAGGGCAGCAATATGTTTAGATAAAAACTGGCTGATGAATCGATCCGGTATCACGCTACGACCTTCGAGGAGCAGTGGCACGCGGAGAAAGAGGTCTCCTTTTTTTTCCCCACCACTCTGACTCTTTGAGTTGAAAGCATAGGCAAAGACAAAAACGAACGGAGATGGAGACAGCGGGAAGATTACAAGTTTACCTCTTGGAACGAAGTGAAAGGTTTCTGGTGGGATGTGGGTGTGGGACCTTGTGGAAGAATAGTCGCTGAGCATTGCCCATCTCATCCCTGTCGCGTTTTCCATAACTTAAATTCAGATCTGGATCTGACAGGGCTGTTATAAAAGGACGCTAAACTCTGCATGGGGTCTGGCACAAAGAGAGAAAGAAAAGAAGGAAAAGAACAATGTATTTCGCATTTCTTTACGTTTTTCATTTTTGTTTTGGTTTTCTTTACTGGATATGTCGGGCCATCTGAATCAAATTCGCCTAAGCACAGCCGGCTAACCACTTCTACTACTACTACTACTACTGATAATAATAATAATAATAATAATAATAATAATAATAATAATAATAATAATGGTGATTATGATTCTCACCTACCTGGTGAACCGATCTTGGCTGAAATGCGAAAGATTGCATTCATGGGAACTTCCCATATCCACTAGAAATTTTATACAAGTAACAAAATATGAACAAATTCTATATGAAACTGCACAATCATGTATTCACACGCATATTCTCATATATTCACAGAAACCTACACAACAGTATGGACATTCCCTTATATACACAGAACCCTAAACATTTGCATGGACATTATCTTATATTATAAAGATACTAAAGTGTGTGTGTGTGTGTATATATATATATATATATATATATATATATATATATACAGTAGCGGCTATAACATAAGGAACGGAAACAACAAAGACATACATATGTGTATTACTTAAAAAGTAATGCATGATTAGCAATGAAATTTTTACCGAATAAAGATTAGGGTATAATGCATAAATATTATACAAAGTTGCAAAAATTTACATAATAGTTTTTTTTTTTTAAATAAACATTAAATGGAACAAAGGAAATAAGCTACTGGACAAAAGTTAAGGAACGATGTTAATAATTTGCTTAAACTTTTAATTTACATTGTTAAAAAACTCGATGGAGCTTTTCAACAATAAGTAAAAGTTCATTTGTCATGAGGACTTTATTTTTAAGCAATATGGCAAATTCTACACGCAAAACGCTCTCTTTTGAAAAAAAAACCTTGTTATCGCTAACTTTCAAGAAAAATGTCTATTTCAGAAATTTCTGATATTGTTCATGGGTTTAAAAGCGACGTTCATCGTGTAATTAGGAGGTATAAAACCGATAAAACGTTAGATGCAAAACCCAAAACCGGCAGACCTCCAAAAACATCGCAAAGAGAAGATCGAAGAATTGTTAGAATATCTACAAAAAAAAAAAAACGTTTTGAAACTGCTACTTCATTTGCCCGTAAATTTAATGAAGAGACAGATAATAAGATCTCAAGGAAAGGGGTTGCTCGCATGTTAAAAAATGCAAGATTGCATTTCCGTGTTCCAGCTTCGAAGCCTCTCGTTTCAAAGCAAAACCAAAGGGCACACCTGGAGTATGCGAGAGAACATGTTGTTTGGACTGACGCACAATGGGATACAGTTCTTTTCAGTGACGAGTCCAAGTTTACTATATTTGGTTCTGAGGGCAAAACTTACGTACGCCGTAGAACAGGTGAAAGACTGTCTTCTCAATGTGTCAAGAAAACCGTTAAGTTTGGTGGCGGCAGTGTGATGGTGTGGGGAATGATTTCATCTGCAGGAGTTGGCCCTATCATACGCGTACATGGCAATATCAATGCTGAGATTTAAAAAAGGATTCTTCAGCAGAATGTGGTACCAAGATTACACCATAATCTTTATGAATCTTCTATTTTCATGCAGGACAAAGCACCTTACCACAAGGCTCAGAAGGAATCGCCCTAATGAAGTGGCCAGCCCAGAGCCCCGACCTGAATCCAATAGAAAATGTTTTGAAGATAATTGGAGAAAGGGCTCAGAAAAGAAACCCGAAAAACCAGGATCATCTATGGGAGTTATTGAAAGACGAATGGGAGGGAATTACTGCAAATTATTGCAAGAAATTAATTAAATCACGTGGTCCATGATGCAGAGAAGTCATTGAAAATAAGGGGATGTTTACCAAATATTAAATTTTGTTGATATTTTGTTCACAATCAAGTATTAACAAGATCGTTCCTTAACTTTTATCCAGTAGCTTATTTCCTTTGTTCCATTTAATCTTTATTTAAAAAAAAACTATTATGTAAATTTTTGTAACTTTGTATAATATTTATGCATTACACCCTAATCTTTATTCGGTAAAAATTTCATTGCTAACCATGCATTACTTTTTACGTAATACACATATTTATGTCTTTGTTGTTTCCGTTCCTTATATTATAGCCGCTACTGTATATATATATATATATATATATATATATATATATATATATATATATATATATAAATGTGTAGCAAAAAAAAATATATTTTAAATGAATTAATTTATAATATTAATGCTATATAAATTTACATTGGGCACTTTTTTGTAAAAATAAAATATCTATAAGAACACCAGATTATATATCTTACTGTTCTTTCTTTCTTTATATATATATATATATATATATATATATATATATATATATATATATATATATATATATACAAACAAATTCCCAAAAGGATAGAATCCAAGTAGTAGAACTCAATGTCCAGGACAGAGTAAGAATATAACATAAAAGGCTCAAGCGCAAATATTCCTTGGTTATAATTTATTAAAATGGAATCGTAATCACGATCCAATTCATCAGACCTAACAAACACACACACACACACACACACATATATATATATATATATATATATATATATATATATATATATATATATATATATATATATATATATATATTTTGTATGTGTTCGTGTGTATAAACAAAAAGGAAAGGCAAAATAACACGACACTGTCACTGTGATATGAAATGGAGACTGTATTTATTAATCATAACTGGAAATGCTCAATACAATTCAACGATTCCGCAATGTTTTAAAAATATTTTTGACCATATTTTTTATGTGTATAAACGCGTCCATTTTTGGATGTCCAACCACGACATTATCAGAAACTAAAAGCAGTAACTATAGCAAAGTTCAAATTTATTGGTTATTTTCTAACATTTTCTCAACAAGCGTCTTCGTAATCTAAATTATAAACCTAAAGTTAAAAAAATTCAATAAAATATTAGATTGCTTAGTATTATGTGAATTAAAATTGCATTTGATTGCTTTGATTTTTAAGATTACTGAGTAGTTAAATAAATAAATATATATATATATATATATATATATATATATATATATATATATATATATATATATATATATTCACGTTACATTCATCAAATTATATCTCGCTTCGAAAAATTTCCCAAACAAAAGTTTATCAAGAATATTATGAACACCTTATGAAAACAATCAACTCCGTTGAGAATTGCATTTTGTTGACAGGTTTGCCAATATAACGATTTTATCGTTTTTTACTAATAATAAAAAATCATTCCTGTTAATTTAAATTAAGTTTGAAATAGGGCGAAGTATTTTGCTAATTAGAAATATTCAATTTTCCGTCCTTGATACAGCACATTGAACATTGGCGCGATAGCCTAAGGAATTTTCCAGATCTTTCGACCAAATCAAAATATTATTAGCTTGAAATTAAACTAAAATAAGAACTTCAAGAATGATTTATAATTTTTGAATATAGCATTTTAAACCTTAGGTATCGCTTTGATCTGTTTAGTTATTTTCATTGGATCCTTTCATATTCACGGATAAGCTTTTTTGGTGTTGTTATTGAATGACCAGAGAAAATCGCCGTGCTGATATATATTTCTTTTAATCCGAATACTTTCGACAGAGCACAATGTCATCATCAGGGAATTGTTTATTGCAAGACAAATATTGTAGTGTATTTTCGAAGACAAAATGATTGTGTTTATCTCAAAGTTAAAAATGCCAAGGTTTCCACTCATAGTTATATTTACGACTTATTTCGTCAAACCTCTCCACAACTATTTTTAGTTAACTACCCTTAAACGATGTCAGCGATCATGCATTGACTCAGCATTCTTCATTCCACATGTAAGAAATTTATTTTTTCAGATGAAAACAACAATTAAATTTTATCCCGCAGACACGCGTACAAACGCCAAGGGAGGTAACTAAGTTATTTAAATGTCTAAATATTTAACAAAAAACTATGTAAAACTACGATATAAAACTAGAGATGTTTACACTATCTACTGTAAACATTTTAAAACATTTGTGCAGTATTGATAATTAATTTTTATTAGGGATTGGTCTAAATAATTTAGTTTAAATTGTTTTTTTTTAATATTTAGGCATTTCAATAAATTTGTTATCTCCCTTGACGTTGAATATAACAGACAAAGAAAATTGAATTAATTTTTTATTTATTTTATTAACAATTATCCGTATAGTGGCAGTAAAGGGGTGCAAAAATTGTCAGTATTGCCCATTGCCTCAAGTGCATTTGTCCAATTATTTAGCCATTTCCAAGCCCATTTATTTTTGTGTGCTATTAATTTCTGTGTATGCTTGACTGCATGCGTTTTTTGTATCGTTTATGTGTTTATATATATATATATATATATATATATATATATATATATATATATATATATATATATATTATAACTTAATTGATTTAAAATATGTTTTTTCGCTACACAGTTCTAACCATGTTTCAAAAAAAAAAATAAAATATCTATAAGAACACCGGATTATATATCTTACTGTTCTTTCTTTATATATATATATATATATATATATATATATATATATATATATATATATATATATATTATAAGAAATTAGAACAAAGCATATTGAAATCGTTACACAATAGGTTTTGTGTTTCGGCATAATGCTGTGCCTCTTTAGACGATGGTAAGTGACTGGTGATTAAATGACTTTTAAGAAAATTTCAAAAGCAAAGTGTTACATCTTTTTTTCGGAATATAATGGGGTTGAGGAAACACAACGTCAGAATTAAAGACTTGTTGGTGTGCTTTGATCAAACAATCAGTTGCCAGATCTACGCTAAACTGAAAATTAAGTTAAGAGGATGGAGGTGGGGGCATTTTTTCATGATATTATAAACAGGAAGTAGATATGTCATCATTTACATT